CGCTCTCAGGGACCCTGGCCCGGGGTCCAGGCGCCAAGGTCCGCGAGTTAAACGCGGGAAATGGTGCCTCCAAGGCCGAGAATTGTCAGACCCCAGCCCTCATTAGCGCTCCTGCAGGTGTACAGTAAATAAAAAGCCTTTACAAGTACTTACGGAAATAGGAAGGTTTATATTAAACCGAGTCAATCCCCGAAGATGATCTGAAAAGAGCCTCCACAAGAGGAAACTAATCCTAAAACTGACTGAGGGTGCACAACTCCTGCACCCTCTCATACCCGGGGTACCCAGCAATTCATGATCTTCCTAGAGAAGGCCGACAGGATTTGCCCCCAGGGCAATAACTAATATGCTAGATCACCAGGGATCTTCTCTGATCCTTCCCAGGTCTTCTGTCTTTTAATTTTTTTTAAAAAATTCTATGGATTGATTGATTTTAGAGAGAGAGGAAGGTAGAGAGAAACATCTGTTTGTTGTTCTAGCCATTCATGCATAAACTGGTTGATTCTTGTACCTGACCTGAGTGGGGATGGAACCCAAACCTTGTCACATCACGAGGACAGGAGGATGAGCTAATGCCAGGGCTCCTCTGTCTTTTAAATTTTTTAAAAATGTATATATCTTTATTGATTTCAGAGAGAGGAAGGGAGAGAGAAACATCAATGATGAGAGAGTCATTGATCAACTGCCTCCTGCACCCCCGGACTGGGGATCGATCCCACAACCCGGGCATGTGCCCTGACTGGGAATCGAATCATGATCTCCTGGATCTTAGGGCGATGCTCAACCACTGAGTCACACCTGGCCGGGTGAGCATATGTTTATTGTTTTAGAGAGAGGAAGGGAGAGAGAAAAAAAAAAGAGAAACAGCACTGTGGCCAGGGATTGAACCTGCAGCCCAGGTACGTGCCCTTGACCCAGAAGTGAAACCATGTCCCTTCAGTAAGCGAGCCAATGCTCTAACACTGCGCCCCGCTGGCTGGGCTTGATTTACTTTTTAATGAGTTTAAATCCTTGATGGGTACAGAATCACACAGATTCTGTTGTCCAATGGCCTTAGCAGGAAGGTTGCTTCAAAATTCGGCAAGAACCCCACCACTGTTACCATGGGCATGAATCACCTTTCAGATCACTCTGGGTGTGTTTGACACCAGGAGTCACTGTGTTGTTTTTTGCTTTGTACACATAAGCGCATCTCTTGCCTAGAGAGAATTGTTTTACCTTGGGCATACATACCTTCAGTTTTCAGAAGAGTTGTGTGCTCCTTCTGTTTCCAGAGATCTTGCCTATAGCCAGCAAAAATGGCCTTGGACCACAGCCTTCCAGACATGATTGTGGTTTTAGAAGTCCTGTTTCCTGCAGGCCTCCACAGGCTCCAAAATAGAGAAAAGAGGACCATGTAAGGCTTTATTTACTTTTCAAGTAGATCTAAAGCACATTCGAGTAAATGTTTATATCAATTAAATCTGAGTATCAGGTGTGTTTTTGTCCTTTATACTTTTCTGTGGAGTTAGAAATAGTTCCTGATGAATTTTAAAAGCCATAATGAAAGAGAAGTGAGGAAGCAGAGACAAAGAGTAAATTAAGAACCTTGTTTTACTATAGGAGTCATTTCACCTAATTAAAAATACACACATACACACACACACACATACATATTGAAGTCTCTGATGTTTGAATCAATTTCAAGATTTGTGAAGCATTGTTTAGAAAATTACAGAAGTCACTTTTAAAAGTCTAATATAACAATTCAAAACTGTATCAGCTGATGTAAATGCATCCACAGTAAAGATTACTAAGTTTCTTTCTTAAGGTGAAGCTCAGTGGAAACTGTTTAGAATGAAAAGTTCCATTTGTTCTCTTGTGGCTGCAGGAAAGTTTGGTTTTTGTTTCGGAAGAAAATTCTGACAGAAATCTCTATTAAAAACAAAGTGCAGCTTTTTTCCGTGTTGTGGTTGATCACCGTTTCCCATAAGAACATGGCTGGAAGGTGCTGTCGGTCTAGCGAGCCCCTTCTCTCCCTTCCTGCCCTCCCTCTTTCCTTCTCCCTCTGTCAGTTGGGAGATAACAGAGCCTCCTTGGTCTTCAGGGAAGAGCCGGTCAGTTGTGAGCAGAGAGATGGTGCCTCGGAGGGGGAATGAGAAGCAGCTGGTCTTGTGGGCTGGGCTGGGCCACAGCCCTAGTGGAGGGGTCGGCCTCTGATGGGAGGAGGGCAGAAGCTGGGGGCTGTTAGGTTGCAGGGTGGGAAGATAAGGGAAATAAATGGCTTGTGCTTTCTCAGCGAAATCTGCTGAGAGTGCGAGTTGGGGAGGAGGTGTGGGATGGTTTCGGTGAGAGAAGAAGGTAAAACATGGGTGCCTTGGGAGTGGGAAACAGCGAACAAGAGACATGTCAAGTAATAGTGGGGCCTTCGTCAAGGGTTTGGCTCAGTCGTCTGATTTTTCCAACAGTTCAGCTGCTAAAGGACAGATGCTTAGAATGGAGAAGATTGGGGCTTTACCAGCTGCTGAAAAGGTAGAGGAAGATGGAAGACGAAAGGGGTTAGTGAAGGAGGAACTGCCGGGAACCACAGAAAGGAGGACCAGCTCCATAAATGACCATCCTTGTGGGGGAGTTATTACCGAGACTCCTTCCTCCCCCTCCTTCCATTTGTCACCACGGAGTCAGAGTCTGTGTCCTTCTCGTAAACATAGGCCTTGGAGCAAGATCGTAAACGCTCCTGAAAATAACAGTTTTGCAGCTTCGTTTGGCCCAGCTATTGTTTAATTCCTCTCTCCTGGAGCTTCACTCTCTCCCTCTGTGCTGGCTCCTTCCCATCAGCGTTGAAACATAAGTTTAACACTTTACTGTTAACAAAAATGGGGGGAGAAAGGCTGCCTTTAATCTCACACCCCTTCCAGCTACAGTCTCTTTAATTTTTCAGGGTCAAAATTCTCAAAAGAGATGACTACACTCTCTGCCTGCATTTTCTGCTCTCCACGCCCTCACTCACCAACTCCCAACTTTGGACAGTTGGGCTTCCATCAGGCTCACTCTGGAAACAGTGAAGGCCAAAGTCACCAGCAACTGCCCTGGTGTTGAAGAGAATGGACTTTGCAGCCCCTGTCTCACTCGATCTCTCTTTTGGCAGTACTCACCATTCTCTTCTTGAAACTTCTTTTCTGCTCTTGCTTTCTGTGCTGGCCACACTCCTGGTTTTCCTCCAAACTTCCTAATTTCACACGCTTCTTCTGCTACATCCCTCCTTCAGGCCCCTGTTCCATTCAAGAATAAGACCTAGTTGTAAGGTGGTTTTATTTACTTGCAGCAAGTAAAGGAGAGGGACTTACATCCAAAGCTTCGTCTTCCCCAAGGGAGGCTTAGCCATTGCTTATAACAATACTTGGTTAATTACATGTTGATTTCTTCTTTGCAGTTGGCTACACTTATCAGGTTGAGTTCTTGTCAAGCTCATCCTGTTTACAGCAGCATCTGCAACATTTTAACATTTTAACATTTAGTAAGAACAGCATTTAGTAAGAGCCAGGCAGACCCTGGGACCCTTGTCCTATCTAACAAAGGTCAAGTTCTTGAGGTACTGAGGGTTAGGACTTACACTTTTTGGGGGGTTGGGGGGCTCAATTCAACTCATAACACCAAGTGATGCTGATGATGCTTTAAGACAGCAGTCTGATCATATTATTCTCCTTTGAAGCTTTTCAATGGTTCTCCACTGCTCTCAAGGCAAATCCAAGCTCTTAGCTTGGCGCCACCGAAGGCCCATCAAAATCTGGCCTCTGCCACTTAACCCCGTGCCCTTCCTTCACTACGCGTGCTCACACTGTTTATGATGCCTCTTTGCCTAGAATGCCCTATTTCTATGGATCCTTTAATGCTCTGCCCATGTGTCCCGGAACATTGTGTTAGTGCTCATCACACAAACCTGCCTCCTGGGGCCTAGCGCGGGTTTGACCTAGCGCTCAATAAATTTTTGTTGAATGAATGTATGAAGACAATTATTTTCAAGCCTTTAAAAAAATTCCAAAAGAAATATTTTATTTTTTAATTCAAGAGAAGTGTTAGGTTGGAATTACATGTATATAAAAGACTTTCTGGTTGGACCAGGGTTCCGTATTCCTGCCAATCTGGTTTATGCTCTGCCCCCTGGTGGTGGCCCTAGGCCGCGCGGGAGAACTAAAGGACTATTTAAGGTATTTCCGGAAACCGGGAGTCGGTGACTCATCTTATTTATATACCCACAATGCATTGTGCATAGGATCTTTTCTACTTTAAAACGGCTAGATTATTTTTCTTTCAACTTTCCCCATCCACTGAACATGAGACTACTTTTACAGATTTATGTGAACTAAAGGCAGAAGCTACTAGTTCTTTTGTGGAAATAGTTACCATTGCTTTTCTAGGAGTTACAGTTACCTGAGGACTGTGTGAAAACTTACAGACGCATACTCTGGTTTCTCTTCAGATCGTATAAATCTTTCGCCTTTTACTAAAGATTTCCGTGGAGAGGAACAACTCTGAGTTTATACTCAATTTTTTGAGGTCTTGCGTTAGCAGGACTATACAAAAGTGTATTAAAGTAAGACATGGGATGTTCCTATTTAAGTTGTGGGTGTTAAAGAGGTTTGTGAGGAGCTTCAAGTACAGTAAAATCTCATCAGTGTTGGAAACTGAGTAGAGTGTGTCTGTAATGGGTGGGTGCGTAGGTCTTACTGATTTTCTAGGAGTTTCCAAATTGCTTACCCATAGATTTCTCACCTGTCACTTTTGAACGAACTAGTATGGCTTAGAGATTTGACACTCCCCAGTCCCAACTGCGGCGGGGCCTGTGTGTTTTCTCTCACATTGGTGTTTTTCTCTCTCTCTGAAAAGCAATGGGAAAAATATCTTTTGGTGTGGCTTAAAAGAAAGAGGGAGGAAGGAAGAAAAGAAGAGAGAGATGTACTTTGGAATATGCAGCTTGTTCTGGGAATTGCGTGCTCTTGTTGGAGTGACCCCGATGGAGCTAAGGAGGGACAAGCGCCCTCCTTCGGAAGGACCCAGGAACACGGGACTTCTAATTTAATCATACCTGCTCAGTATACACAGAGTTATAGTTTAGATTTTTGTATTATTCTTAAGGTTTCTTCCTTTTTTTAAAGGTTTTTTAGGTTTTTATTAAATGATGATTACCTTAGACTAGTTGTTTACAGATATTGGATTTTCCAATTAAAATTTCCGAAGTATTTCTGGGATACTATTTTTAATTTTTTTTTACTATTGTTCTACAAAAGAAAGGCCATTTCGAGACTAAAAACTAAAGGATGACTTGACACCAAAGGACAAGACACTTCTTTAAAATAGGAAATCCATTTAGCTTTATGGAAATATGACTATATTTTGCTAACTTTTTTCTACCCCCTGAGCCCAAATAGAGGAAAGCTGAAGCTCACAATCAGTTGAGCAGAAGCTTAGCCGCCTTAGACTGACAATATTAGGGCCGGTGATGCCCTCTTGTGGCAGCCTGGAGAATTACTGTCATCTGACTGACTTTTCTCTGACTTGAGGGACAATTCCTTCACAATACTTCCAGTATTCATGCAGGCCAGGCACATTGATCTCAGTTTGGGATATATCAGTAAATAAAAAAATGTACATATTATATCTCTATATCTTATCTATGTATCTATGTCTATCTATCCATCCTTCCTGTAGTGCATTCAGGTGGACACAGACAATAAAAAAAAATATATATATTATAGGGAAAAATGGCACTGCAAGGAGGCTGGGGCCATGGTGTAGGGAGTGGTATAGCGTGTGTGTAGCTCTCAGCCCTGGCCCGGTAGCTCATTTGGTTAGAGCATTCCCCTAATATGCCATGGTTTCTGGTTTGATCCCACTCAGGGTACATACAAGAATTAACTAATGAATGCATAAGTAAGTAGAACAACAAATCAATGTTTCTCTCTCTCCAATCAATCAATCAATCAATCAATCAATCAATCAATCAAACCAAGAGTAGCCCTCCATGACAAGGTGATTCTGTGTAGAGCTGAAAGGAGATGAGGGAGTTAGCCATGCAGCTAGATATCTGGGGTGATAGGTTCTAAGAACAGAACCTCTCTCACCATTCAGCAGAAAAGTCAGTACAAAAGTCCTAAGGCATGAGCTTGTTTGTTAATTTTAAGAAACACACAGCAAGTGTGTCTGGGGCCAGTGAAGGCAAATGAGAGAAGTAGGAGACAGTTCAGAGGCAATGGGAGACTAGATCACCTAAGGCCCTGCTCTCATTTATCTCCCTCCCCGCTCCTCACACAGAGAACACATAAATAGCAAGACTTTATTGAACTTTCCCCAGCCGGCAGCTCTCCCTCTCACCCCTGGTGTGCCTAACCCACAGCCTCCCCCCTAGGCCCAGGTGGAGTGGCCCTGAGATGGACGCCAGCCTCCTCCAGCTGGACTTTCTGCCTTGGTCTTCCTGGCTTGCCTCAGAGGCTCTGTCACTCCTTTCCTTCCATATCCTCCTGGAAGTGAGCGCTATCAGCCAGCTGCTCCTGATCACAAGCGCCTGAGTAAAGGGTCCTGTTGCTGTAGAAGACGCCGCTGCAGGATAATGCTGGAAACAAGGAGATGAGCCTGAGTCTGGGTCCCGGCTGCACCAATCAATGCTCCAGGTCCCCTCCTCACTCCCCACTCACCTCGGGTAACGTTGACTTTGTTGGTTGCCAAGATGTCCACCTGAACGTTATCCATTTTCATGTACAAGTCCTCTGCGTTGCTCTGAGGACAGGAGCAAGGGGAACCTGGCTGAGGTGCCAGGGCAGTGTGGGTTTGGAGATGGGCTCGAGCAGAGGGATGTTGCAGGCAGGAGCAGGAAAAGGGACGGAAAGGTGCCAGGCGGAGGCCAAGCCAGGGCGGCCCTCCCCTGCCGCCGGCCCCGGCCCAGTGCTTGCGAGAGGGGTACTGGGGAGGGGCGGTGTGGAGGCGCCTCCGTTCTGTTTGGGCCAGCTGCCTCTGTGGCGGCGGGCGAGTCGGGAACACTCACGAGGAAGAGCTCGTAGAGTTTCTCCCCCATGGACTTATGCACGTGCTTCTCCACCACCGGGAACAGCCGCACGAAGTACTGCGACAGGCGGGCGGTGTGACTGCGGTGCCCGCGCCC